TATATTTCTAACTTTGGCAATGTTCTTCAGATGGTAAAAAGCTGTTGATGTTATTGATTTTACGTGGCTATTGAAATTTAGATTTGAGTCGAGTATTACCCCTACATTTCTCACCTTGACAATATGTTAGGAATCACAATAATGTTCAACTGTGGCCCAAATATTCCAATACTATGGAATCATCTCCTTTTTGTCAGTTCCTGCCCCTAATATAAACTATACGCAATGATTGTTTTGAGGTTAATTGTGGCAGAGAAGCTTTCCTCACTTCATTTATCCACCCATAAAGTCTTCCTTCACCTAAGTCCCTAGTCTGATGTACTTTTGATTGATTCTTTGCCCATGCTACTCTGTCTCTTATATATGTTACATGCCAAACACTTGAAAGCATTTCTGGCTAATTCAGGACCACGGCTTAATACACAGTTACACAGAGAAATGTGTTTTAAAAGTGAACAGCATCAGAATATTGAAAATGTGAAAATGGTGCTAGAGTTGTCAGTCTCTTGTAAAACCGAACACTCTTGAACCAACAAATTCACACAAGAAACACCAGACTTTAACCAGACTTTACAAGTTGCAAACGCACGCTCAAATGTTTTCCTCCTTAATCCTTGTGCTAACTTGACTCCATTGCGTCGGGAATTTTCTCGATGAATACACTTGTGTTTGGCTTTGTAAACAGCCAAATTGATTACATCCGTGACTGCCGCTTTTTGTGACTTTTGAAGATTACATTTTCGACGCCGCGCTCGCAGAAGAAGAGTGAAATCCTAATCCGTGTGTGGGTGAAAAAAGTGCGTTGGTTTTTTTCAAAACTTTGTTAGATTTTTGCAGAAGTATCTCATTAGGCCGAGGGCAGCTGTGCAGAGGCGGACAGGCTGTTCCATAGACACCAGTTGACTCAGACTTGAGCAGAAGCAGCGATGGTGGATTGCTTGTTACTCAAACTGATATCACATTTAAAAAAATGTCTTTCTCTCCGCGAAGACATATCTATTCAGTTTTATACCACTTTGATTATTGAGCTGACAGAATAAATCTCTCACTCTATATGAACAACAGGCTTGAATGTGAATCTTAGAGAGATGGATAGTGGATGATAGATAGATAGATACTTTATTGAACCCCCGTAGCAGGAACTTCAGATGTCCAGATGCAGAAAAACAAATACATAAATCATTCTAAAAATCTTAGAATAGTATTAAAATAGGGACTGTATTTTCTGGGACACCGGACAGAATTCGGTTTATGTTTATGTGAACAGCAGAGCGACAACATGGGAATCTGTGGCCTATACCAGGACAAATTTGACTTTCTTGTCACATGTAGCTAGTGTGGTTTGTATACAGGTGCGCTTAATTGTCCAGCAAGTACCTTCTTTATGCCTTGGATCCGTTGCATCACTACTTATCACTACTTTTGGTACGTGTTTAGCACCATTTTGACCTGTTTACCTAACTTCCTTGGCTTTATCCTTGTAGAGTTTTTCTGCTTGGTCTTTGTTTTGCGCATTTATAATGATTAATTCCCCCTCACCACCCTGGCTATTTAAATCAAATATTTGTTACATAATAAAGATGTATCAAGACAAGATGTTCCATACATTCCAGAAAGAAAATTAAGCAGTGCTAATGGAAATAAACAAAGCCTAACTATTTCTAATGTGTGTAGAAACAGCCTTTGCTTTGCCTGGAAGTGTATGCAGTCGTTTTTCTTCATTTAAGTCTAAAAATGTATTGGCTCTTGTTCCATTGCCACATATTATTTTCTTGTCAAATCCAATTCATTTGAACTGGTATATTGTATTTGCAGTGTAACTTTGTGTTGATTAATGCAGAGTAGTTAAAGTTTTATAGAAATCCAAAAATGCACCCATACTGCTCTATCTGACACATTTGTACGGACTTTCACGATAATCTCAAAAACCTCAAAAATGGCTTATATTTAACAGAATTTCAGAACTAGTTTCTCTTTCTTTGGGAAGCATAGAATGACGATGAATATGTCAGATCCGGTGGAAACTTCTGTAATGAGACACATCTGTCACATCTGCCTCCTATTGACTCGATGATCCTTGTGTTTATTTTTCAATATTGTCTTTGCAAAATCCAAATCTGTGCCATGTCAGGATTAACCAATAAGATACCTTCATTTACGGGTGATGCCACACCAGCCCTCCTTAGCAACCATCTTGGCAACATGTCTACTCCTGCTATCTAAATCTAGCCTGGTCGTACCACACCATAGTACGAATTACATTTCGTACTAAGGTCTGGAGGCGCTCCGTTGAGCTCCGTTTACAGATAGGAGGGGTTAACTCCTTTTGCAGATTGAAACGATTGGATCTGAGTTTACCATGAGAAGTTACAGGTTTGAGATGAGAGCACTTCCACAAAGAGGTTTTTTTAAGGGTGCAAACTTTTTAAGGTTGCAAAAATTTCCAAACAGCTTTTAAGCCCTTGTTTCTCTTTCCTTGAACAAAAATGAATATGTCAGCCCCTGTGGCAACTTCTGTGATAAGACGGATACTGTAAAAATGAAACCAATATATATGAGGTACTGTGTCAAGTGGCAAAACAAAAGAAACCCAAAAATGAAAGATTTATTGAAATGAAATGCAAAATAAAAAAAATCAAGAGAAAATGACAGCAAAGTTACAAAACAGCCGCTTGAGGAAAAGAACTAAAACTGACGTGGGAATGACCATGACGACCCAGACACAGGTGGGACACATGGGGGCGGGGCTTGTAATCAGGAACAGGAAGTACAACTAAAGAAGACACAGGTTTGAACAAGTTACAAAATAAAACAGCGAATAAACATTTATCGTGACAGACTGAATGATTTTCTCTCATAAAAACACAGCTAAGACTTCATGAACACCCTTTTATCTCGCGCTGCCTTCTTCAGTCGTCTGTTATCGGCTCTGGCACACGGCTCCCTGCCTCTGCTGAGGGACCGCTACTCTGTTCTACCTCTCAGGAGTCTACAAACTGCTTTTGGAAGTCTGCTCCTCCAGGATCGTGCTCTCCGCAGGTCTGCCTCTGTTTGATGGGTCCTGTGTGCAGTTCTGTGGTCCAACTCCTCCAGCTCTTGGTTTTTAAGTGCCCGCTCTCTTTAAGATTCTGACTTTTTTTTTTTTTTAAGAAGCACTGCAGGCGGTGTGGCTGCTAGAGTGAAGAGACTTGCTAAGACTGGGAAATTATGTATGGAGAAAGTTTTCATTTAAAAATAAGCTAAATGTGTGGACGTGGAGGCTCTCGAGGGTCTAACTGTGGTCTCTGTGGTAAAGCTGGGGTACCAGGGGGACGCGGTGGCTGAGTGGTTAGCACTCTGAGAGAAGCTCAGCTGAGAAGCGACCAGGTTCAAATCCCGGTCAGAACAGGACCTTTCTGAGTGAAGTTTGCATGTTCTTACCGTGTCTGCGTAGGTTTTCTCAGGGTGCTCCGGTTTCTCCTACCACTAAAAATGTGCACAATAGGTCTGAATGTAATGGGACAATGAATCGATGGTGTTGGTTGGTTCAGATCAGAGAATCAAACAGTTTGAACCTAGAAATGCAATAATAACAAACACTTAGGAGGGTCCATAGGGAGCAGAATGACCAATCTCCAATTATAATACATTAATGAATTACCATAAACGTCCCAGATCAGTGCTATACAAATAAAGTTTCTCCCCTTCTTGAGCAATTATTGACAGTGTACTGTCAATAATAATACAACAAGACTGTAGTGAAGTAATATGAAGGAATATTAAACGTATTACTCCACCATAGATTTGTATTCACATCCATGTCGTCTATTGCAGTGTTTTTCAACCTTTTTTGAGCCAAGGCACACTTTTTTCACTGAAAAAATCTTGCGGCACACCTCCAGGAGAAAATGTAAAAATGTATACAGTACTAATGTAAAAAAATATATACTGTACATACTCTGTGTGATATATAAAGTATATCTTATCTTATAATGTATACAGTATACTCTGTAGCCTATATTCACAATATACAGTTATTCTCATCAAAATGCTTAAGTCCAGGCCTTGAAATTAAGCTTTATTTAATATTTCTCGATACAATTAACAAGAGTTTGGGAATAAAGTGGCACTAACTGTGTGGAAAAAAACTAAGAAAATCCACTCTCTGCCCAAATAGTCAAATAATAACTCACACAAAGAACATGCATTGTTAGTGCATGGGAAACATTTTGGTATCCGAGCTTTAAATTCAGGAGTTTTGGATGAGGGACACGGGAAGTCCTGAACGCGAGTCCATGGTTCTGTCCGGTCCGCATGTCTGTGGTTCTGTCCACTAGACTACGGTCTGCGCTCGGTACCCAGTTCAGAAGTGCGTTCGCGAGAGCTGTTGTACAAAAATTGTACATTTCATATTTAAACCACTACAACGCGGCCACAGCTGCCCCGGGGCAGAGCGGAGGATGTTAATCCTGTTCAGAAACGGCATAATTCATTTTCAAAAACGTCTCTATCACTTTCACTTCTCACTCGCCACAAAGCTCTTGTCTCGCTCCCTCACACATTTGTTGGTCGCATCCAATTTTACCTTTCTCGCCACAATGCTGACCTGTTACAGCCAGTGGTCGCATCCAATTTTTCAGTTTCAAAGTACTTAGCTATCTGCTGCCATCTACTGATTTGAAAAAGTATTACATGGTTACTCCACAGTTCAAAACAAGTCACCGCTCGTCAACAGCGAATGCAGCTATTTTTAGACAAAGTAGACGAATTTCTCACGGCACACCAGACAATATCATACGGCACACTAGTGTGCCGCGGCACAGTGGTTGAAAAACACTGGTCTATTGGTATCTCCTCGGTCTCCATACTACTCTCTCTCTCTCTCTCTCCCTCTCTCTCTCTCTCTCCCTCTCTCTCTCCCTCTCTCTCTCCCTCCTCTCGCCTCCTCTCTCTATGGCAGCCGCCGCCGGCCTTCACCCCCAGGCTAATCAACCCTCCCCCCCTCTCCCTCCACCTGTCAGTCAAACGTCGCGGTCCGTTCTGTGAAGACTGACCTCCGGCACATTCTCACTCCGGCAGCAGCAGTCCCAGAAGACCTCGGCGTATGTCAGAATCCTGAAAGACACCGCTCTCTGATCCGCCGAGCACTCACGCGACCGAGATGTCAACGACATGCCATGAAATATGCATCTGACTCTATTTTCGTGCTTTTATTTATGCTCCGAGTCAATTCTGCGCCGTATTATGCCTGTCAGTCCTCAAATGATCCCCCCCAAGGAATGTTCTGTATGTATATTAATTGCAAGGTTCATTTGAACCCCAAGGCATTATTCCTAATTTTTAAAACAAACTCCCGCTGGAAAATTACCATATACCTTCTAATGCAGTGTTTTTCAACCACTGTGCCGCGGCACACTAGTGTGCCGTATGATATTGTCTGGTGTGCCGTGAGAAATTCGTCTACTTTGTCTAAAAATAGCTGCATTCGCTGTTGACGAGCGGTGACTTGTTTTGAACTGTGGAGTAACCATGTAATACTTTTTCAAATCAGTAGATGGCAGCAGATAGCTAAGTACTTTGAAACTGAAAAATTGGATGCGACCACTGGCTGTAACAGGTCAGCATTGTGGCGAGAAAGGTAAAATTGGATGCGACCAACAAATGTGTGAGGGAGCGAGACAAGAGCTTTGTGGCGAGTGAGAAGTGAAAGTGATAGAGACGTTTTTGAAAATGAATTATGCCGTTTCTGAACAGGATTAACATCCTCCGCTCTGCCCCGGGGCAGCTGTGGCCGCGTTGTAGTGGTTTAAATATGAAATGTACAATTTTTGTACAACAGCTCTCGCGAACGCACTTCTGAACTGGGTACCGAGCGCAGACCGTAGTCGAGTGGACAGAACCACAGACATGCGGACCGGACAGAACCATGGACTCGCGTTCAGGACTTCCCGTGTCCCTCATCCAAAACTCCTGAATTTAAAGCTCGGATACCAAAATGTTTCCCATGCACTAACAATGCATGTTCTTTGTGTGAGTTATTATTTGACTATTTGGGCAGAGAGTGGATTTTCTTAGTTTTTTTCCACACAGTTAGTGCCACTTTATTCCCAAACTCTTGTTAATTGTATCAAGAAATATTAAATAAAGCTTAATTTCAAGGCCTGGACTTAAGCATTTTGATGAGAATAACTGTATATTGTGAATATAGGCTACAGAGTATACTGTATACATTATAAGATAAGATATACTTTATATATCACACAGAGTATGTACAGTATATATTTTTTTACATTAGTACTGTATACATTTTTACATTTTCTCCTGGAGGTGTGCCGCAAGATTTTTTCAGTGAAAAAAGTGTGCCTTGGCTCAAAAAAGGTTGAAAAACACTGTTCTAATGTGTTGGAAAAACCACCTGAATTGTTAACTGAACAAACTTTGTTAAATCTATTAAACTATTCTAAATACCTTCATAATGTTAAAGAAAAATGTGTATCCACAAAATGAGAAGATTCAACACTTTATTACTTACGGCCTTCGTGTTTGTGTTGTCTGTCAGACCTCTGCTCTTATCACCCTCAAGAGTCACAGCATTACAGAGCTTGTTCATTTTAATTGTGCACATTTACTAATGAATAAACTCACACTTTATTTGGAATTACAGCTCTGAGTTGTTTACATTATTTTACTCTCGTTATGTGCAGAATTTCCACAACAGAGCTATAAGGATGGACGACGGTTACTTAAATTAACCATGGTCTGTCTCTCAAATGTTTTATTATTTTCATTTTGGTGCATAATTATAGCTGTTCTAAGATTGTTTTAAACGTCTGGGATAATTCCTAATTTAAGTTTAAGTTAGATATGGATATTGGTCACTTGCCCATTATGGACCAGTACCAATGTGTTTTCTGTTTTATTTCTTGTGTTTTTAACTGTCTAATTCTTTGATCTGTTTTGGCAAATCCAATAGTTGTGTAAAGTCCTCAGAGATACCTACTGTTGTGATCTAGGGCTTTACAGGATAAATTGTATTGAATTAAATAGATCTGAGCTTTCAAACTAGTATCCATAGCTGTCCTTTCACTGTTTTAGTCTCCTTGTTCGATATGAGTTTGTTATGAGTTGAAGCCCCCCCGGATGAGATGTAGGAAATGTTTGTGTGATAGGGAAGTCTGGGTGTCACTGCTTTAACTGCTGCCCCCACAACCTGGCAACGGATGAGGCGGAAGAAAATGTTTTTTTTTTTGGTGCTAAAGTTTAGGCTCGACCGTATTGACTGACGGACACTTTATGTTTTGTGATCCGTCCTGTTAGATGGCTATGATTGTTTTGAATTGACCTTATGATGACGATAACGAAAGAAACTTCAGATACTTTCAGATTCACACACATAAAACCACACACATGGCTGAATACATATTTATTGGTTATTCTTTCTAAATGTCCTTACAAATTCATCACTGTACATTCTTTGGATTTGAAATAGAATTGAAATCACTGTTGTTTTTTATTTGCTTTTGCTCAAATATTTACCTTACCTTGTCTCTATTCTCCAGGTCATCCTCATCCTGACCAAGTACTACCACGCCGATTCCACCAAGGTCCTGGAGAGCTCTCTGTGGAGGTAGGCCCAGCTTCCACCACATCCACCCCACATCTCGCTGTCATTTTTGGGCTTCGACTCTTGGCTTCTCCTGTCACTGTCGGCCTTGTTAACATCCCCAACCTCCCGTGCTTTATACTAATGTCTGGCATCTCGAATGGACACCAGCTATGAGTGGATAATGGAGTGGCCAGATCCGGACATGTGTTGGGGCAGATAGCGTATCGTTCTTTGAGCAGTGGGAAAAACAGATCCCTCCAGAGCCAGAGGACAGGGTTGAGCACAAGAGGACATGTGCCAAAACATCACGGCAGGTTTGCTCTAAAGCTGGAGTAGGAGCTGTGCAATTGGCGTATTTGGCAAAAAACCGTGTTGGTTGATATTTGCTGGTTTGGTTCAAATATAGAAAAGAACTAATTGTATAATGCCGTATGGAGATTTTATTTTAACGCGTTTAATTTAGGTTTGATTGCATTTATCACCCAATCACTCATTCAATCACACACACATATCCATAAACATCGACATTCACACACACATACATAAACATACACACACACACATATACAGTGCCTTGCGAAAGTATTCGGCCCCCTTGAACCTTTCAACATTTTGCCACATTTCAGGCTTCAAACATAAAGATATAAAATTTAAATTTTTTGTCATGAATCAACAACAAGTGGGACACAATTGTGAAGTGGAATCAAATTTGTTGGATAATTTAAACTTTTTTAACAAATAAAAAACTGAAAAGTGGGGCGTGCAATATTATTCGGCCCCTTTACTTTCAGTGCAGCAAACTCAGTCCAGAAGTTCAGTGAGGATCTTTGAATGATCCAATGTTGTCCTAAATGACTGATGATGATAAATAGAATGCACCTGTGTGTAATCAAGTCTCCGTATAAATGCACCTGCTCTTTGATAGACTCAGGGTTCTGTTTAAAGCGCAGAGAGAACCATGAAGACACAGGAACACTCCAGGCAGGTCCGAGATACTGTTGTGAAGAAGTTTAAAGCCGGATTTGGATACAAAAAGATTTCCCAAGCTTTAAACATCTCAAGGAGCACTGTGCAAGCAGTTATATTGAAATGGAAGGAGTATCAGACCACTGCAAATCTACCAAGACCCGGCCGTCTCTCCAAATTTTCATCTCAAACAAGGAGAAGACTGATCAGAGATGCAGCCAAGAGGCCCATGATCACTCTGGATGAACTGCAGATAACTACAGCTGAGGTGGGGATGGTGTGTTCAGGGTGATGAGCTGTGTTGCTTTTACGCCAAACATATCGTTTTGCATTGTGGCCAAAAAGTTTGATTTTGGTTTCATCTGACCAGAGCACCTTCTTCCACATGTTTGGTGTGTCTCCCAGGTGGCTTGTGGCAAACTTTAAACGAGACTTTTATGGATATCTTTGAGAAATGGCCACTCTTCCATAAAGGCCAGATTTGTGCAGTGCACGACTGATTGTTGTCCTATGGACAGACTCTCCCACCTCAGCTGTAGTTATCTGCGGTTCATCCAGAGTGATCATGGGCCTCTTGTAAAGGGGCCGAATAATATTGCACACCCCACTTTTCAGTTTTTTATTTGTTAAAAAAGTTTAAATTATCCAATAAATGTCGTTCCACTTCACGATGGTGTCCCACTTGTTGTTGATTCATGACAAAAAATTAAAATTTTATATTTGTATGTTTGAAGCCTGAAATGTGGCAAAATGTTGAATGTTCAAGGGGGCTGAATACTTTCGCAAGGCACTGTACATAAACATACATATTCACACACACACATACATAAACATACACACACATATACACAAACATACACGCACACATATACACACATACACACATATACATAAACATAAACACACACACACACATATACACATACAGATACACACACAAGATGTCTATTTAAACGTTTTAAAATAATTTTGACTAAGCTGAACAAACAAAAATTCCCATATCGGCAACACATCGTCACGACAACTTTGTGCAACAGCTGGCATCTCCACCAAACTCTAATTTCTTGCTTAGACCAACATCTGGGCGTAGGCTGCTATTTCTTTCATAGTCCCATTTGCCCAGTTTTGCTTTCTTTTTTTTTTGTCTCTCCATCGATGTAACTTGTAGCATTATTCATGGAGCCCCAACAATTAAAACGTCAACAGAAGTGCAAAGATGCGTACATTATTCATAGTGGATCCTCCGGGGGGACAGGCAGTCAGTGCTAATGAGCGGCTGTAGCTTTGAAGCCCCTGAGTGAGGTGAGTGGCATGAATTAACTATCAGGCCAACAGGCACCATTTGCTCCCCATTTCTTTTGGACTTCTAATTCCAGACGCCCGGCCTGTCTTTATTCAAAGTTTATTGTGGAAGGTCAGCTTCAGAGGCTAGTCCCTGGAGAGTTGAATAGAAAGCTCTTCTTGTGTGGTAATGTAAGTGTGTGTGTATCCAGGATGATGATATTAGGATACACTTTCTGAATTCTGGTGTGCTGCCTTGAGCCCCTCAGCGAGCCAAAAACAAAATACCCATTGTACCCAGTTTTTCAATATTAAGAAGGCACAAATAAGAAGCCATTTTCCCACCACATTTTTGTGACTGGATCAAAAATGACCAGTTTACATGACTGCTTCATTGTAGATTTTGTGACCTACTGACACATTCACAATCACATTTTCTCAGGTCGGCAGATCAGGCTCTGCTCTGGGTTCTTACGCCTAAACGGAAATAGATCGAGCTTTTTCGGTTCTTGGTTCAAAAATTATGGAATGATCTGCCCCTGTGTGTTAGACTGTCTAATTCACTTCCTGTTTTTAGGTCTTGTCTTGAGACTCACTTGTTCACATTAGCTTTTAAGTGATTTTTTATGGATTTTTTGCTGTAAATAGTGTGTGCTTTTTCCACTGCTTTTTATTTTCTAATTGTATAATTAGGACTGGACTAGATTTAGTTTGTTAACTTCAAGCAAATGCGATGCATTTTGCTCCTGGACGAGATGTAACAAATCTGGAGATGGTTCACATTAAGATTAAGAGATCCTTTATTCGTCCCACAGCGGGGAAATTTCACTGTTGCATCACAAGTAACAGAACAGTAGGAGTGAGGAAGCACACAGCACAAGATAAATGAGTAATAACTACACATACATACTTCTCTTGTCACCAACTATAACAGTGTGGACATAGATTTTGACCTTCTGTTCAGTTCTCTCCAAAGTCGTCCATTTTCCACTTTTGATCATCTTTTGCTGCGAGTCATTTCACTCCAGCGGTTTCCCTGGGTTTATCCAAGATGGCGGACTGGCACTGTTCTACGGGCTTTGAAGTGCCAGGATGCCTGTGATCAAACACCGAGGACGATCACGTACAGGGCAGGTGGCGTCGATGAACACAATGGAAAGTTTACAGAGGAAGAGAGGAAAGTTCTCAAGGCTGCTGACTTAATGAACCAGGGGCCTTCTGATCAGATAGAGGCTTGAGAGGCGAGGACGTGCGCACCGCGTTGGAAAGTGTGAGGCCGATGATTTATATCCTGACATTGAGGCTCCAGATTTTGCCTCCCAAGATAATGTTATAAAGGTCAAGTTGTTAGAACACACTTTTATACATTTGTTGTGAGATGAGGTAGTGTAGCTAACTGTCTATTAATTTAGAGTATACTAAGTTAAGGTCAAAGATCAAAAACAAATTAAGGTGGAAAAATTCCCCATAAGACCCATAGCAGAATAACATTGTTAGATGTTGTTATAAAATCAGAATTAGCCACACAGGCTCAGTCCTAGTTCTAAAACCTGAGTCCTGGATCTATGGCCTGTCTGTCTCCCTGAGGTTTTTCATAATTTTTTGTCATTCCTTGCCCATGCAGAAGGTTTTGAAAGACATAAAGGACAATTATGGACATTGGTCATCTCAGTAGTAGTAGTAGTAGTAGTAGCAGTAAGGCGCTAGAACTGTAAGGTGCTTTAGGTGTCATAAAAAGCCTTATTGTATCTTTGTTTCTTTTTTTCTATTATTGGGACTTCAAGATCAAAATATTGTCTCAACCAATGTGACTTTGGTACCTGACCTTTTTTTTCTTTGTGAAGATTCTGTCTCCATTATTCAGCTCTTGACCCTTGATTCCGGAAAAATGATTCCGTTTTATTACACTGGCACTGAAGAATGGGCAAATTTGAGATATTTCTTGCACTCGGTTTGATCCTAAAGAAAGTCTACCACTATCCCTTTACATCAGGTGTAACTTTTTCCATGTTATTCTGTATCGCATTGCACATATTGGATAAACATCTGCTCCGTGCTACAGTATATACGTAGAACCTGGGTGCAAATGGTCAAAGGGGGTTTGGTCTGGTTCCATTTGCATCTGAGACCTGTTATGACTGAACCAGCGTCCCATGTACTAACACATCTGGATCCTCTGCTTTGAGAGGAAATATACAGTACATGCCATATACTCTCAAAACACCAGACTTCTTTGACAGACGATATACATACTGACCACTGAAAACTGAGAAAATACCTTGAGAAAGTAGTTCACATTTGATGAACTAGAACAGTACTATACTAATACCATATAATCATGTGCAATGTGCAATACTGCAACTTCAAAGTATCCACTAAACAATGTCACTTTACTTAATCTACTTATTATCCTGCTCTATATGTACAGTATATAACTCCTGTCCTATATGTACAGTATATAACTCCTGCTCTATATGTACAGTATATAACTCCTGCTCTATATGTACAGTATATAACTCCTGTCCTATATGTACAGTATATAACTCCTGCCCTATATGTACAGTATATAACTCCTGTCCTATATGTACAGTATATAACTCCTGCTCTATATGTACAGTATATAACTCCTGCTCTATATGTACAGTATATAACTCCTGCTCTATATGTACAGTATATAACTCCTGTCTATATGTACAGTATATAACTCCTGTCTATATGTACAGTATATAACTCCTGCTCTATATGTACAGTATATAACTCCTGCTCTATATGTACAGTATATAACTCCTGTCTATA